TAGGCTAGAAGAGGCTGCGGTTTTCAAGGGCCATTAGTCCTGTAGACTAATTTCTTCCATGAGTCTTTGGTTTCTTTCACTCTCCTTTACTCTTCACTGGAAGAGACCCATAATTGTATCTTAGATGGCTGCTTGCAAGCTTTTAAGACCCCAAATGCTACTCACCAATCTAGGATGTAGAACATTATCTTTATGAACTATGTCAGTTGACCTAAATATTCCCCGAGACTATGGTCCTTAGCCTTCAAGTCTGGTTACTCAGTCCGACAAGATAATTGGATATGTCTAGGAATATTATCTTAACTATGCCCTTTACGTGCTCTATTATATATATGAATATATATGCAGCACATGTATTGGTTTAGTTTCTATATGCTTTTCTAGGTGCCTGGTTACTTTTGGAAATTAAACAAGTCTCTCTATTTATATCTGTATATACATGTATATTGAGTCCAGCAGCTACTGAAGATTTGACTGTATCAGAAGACAGTGCTGTAATTGATGTTAATTGTGGTGACCCTAGCCTACCAAGCAAATATTAAATTATGTTCAGAATTCTTGGTGTAAGAAGGCAAAGGGTTGAATAATACATTTTATAAATATTTAGATGGAAGACTTGAGTAAAATTTTAAAAAGTTAGGAAAAAAATTTTAAGTTAAAAAAATTAAAATGTTAGAAAAAGAAACCCTTACTTATCTGGAAAGTGTAGGATCCATGTAAGTAAGATTTTCATGTAATTTATGGTTTGGTAATTTTTATTTTATGGTGTTGCTAATCACAGGATTTTCCTAAGATACATTGTCAAGTTTAGACAAGATATTTCTTTTAAGAATGTACTTTTTAAAAAGGAATATTGAGGAAGGTGACAACTCAATAGAAAATAGAAAGTAATGTCATTTATTTCCTAATACCAGCAGCTTACTTGTGGGTATAGTTTCTTAAGGAGAAATGATTAAACAAAAAGCTTACTGATAGTAAGGTAATATCTACTATCAGTGAGCTTTGAATGAACAACTGCTGTGTGCTTTGCATACTTTATTTAAAACCGAATTTAAAAGGTAGGTATTATTATCTTCACCTGCAGATGGAAGCTGAGACACATGGAGAGAATGACATGCCTGAGCCCTCATAGTTAGTGAGTGCTGCAGCCAGCATACAACCCAAATATGTCTGATTCTAAAGCCCATATTCTCCTCTCTAAGTCATAGTCTCTTGTAGTCTGCAGACTAGGAGAAAATATGTAAAGAAAGATTATCCTGTGCATTGTTTTATTTCATTTCTCCACATACAATTTTTGACCAGTTAGTTTTATTTTAATTACATATTTTAAGTCTGAGGGTTTCTCCACTAAGAAAGGATTAAGCATAGATGTAAATTATTATTTTCTGTCTCTGCTTTCCTTTGTGATTGACCAAAGATAATAGAATCTCTCAAAGGTTTTGCTTACTTGGCCAGTTATCTTAGATCCTAGCTAGCTAGGGCAGCCTCAGAGTGTTATATAACTGGCATTTAAAAAGGTGTCTTTTCTCACTCAGCGTCTCACTTGGATCTGGGCTGTTGTGTCTGTGAGTACAAACACTGAGCCATGAGTCAGGTATACTGATTGAGAGAGTGTGAAAGTAAGCTCAAGCTGGATGCACTGATTCTGTCCACCAGTATCTGTCCTTCTAGAAATTTCAGTAGCTCTCATTCTTGATGGAGCATTGCTTCAGAGGCTTCTGATATTTTCCTGTTAAACATCAATATAAATGATTCCCTGGCAATTGAAATTCGCTCAAGTAATTTAGGACTCTCATTTGGTGGTCATACATAGAAATGGAGCACTTGATACATGCAAATGTAATCCCAGCTTTATTATTCTCTTCAGCTATAATTTACATATAGACAAAATGCACATACCTTAAATGCGGCATTTTAATGAGTTTTGACATGTAGACATATATGCATACATGTAACCCATATCTATCAAGATACAGAACAATTCCATCATCTCAGAAAGTTTCCTGTATCTCTTGCCAGCCAATTTGAAAAAAAAGTCCTCCAAGATCCCCCTTCTACCAGTGTTGACTATACAGATTATTTTTCAAACTTGGTCCATTTTACACTGCCATCAGCAATTTATGAGTTTCCGGTTGGTCTACATCCTTACCAGCATTTGGTGTTGTCAGTATATTCATTTTAGCCATTCTGGTTGGTATATGGGGCATTGGTGGTTCACTGGTAGAAATCTCACCTCCCATGCAGGAGACCTGGGTTCGATTCTCGGCCAGTGTACCTCATGCACAGCCACCACCCATCTGTCAGTGGAGGCTTAAGGGTTACTATGATGCTGAACAGGTTCAGCAGAGCTTCCAGACTAAGCTAAACTAGGAAGAAATGCCTAGAGATCTACTTCTAAAAATCAGCCAGGAAAAACCCTGTGGATCACAATGGTCTGATCCACAGCCAATCATGAAGGTGGTGCAGGGCTGGCCAGCATTTTATTCAGTTGTACATGGGATCTCTATGAGTCAGGGGCCCAACTTGAAAGCAGCTAACAACAGTTGGTATACAATGGTATCTCATTGTGGTTTTACTTTGCCTTTTCCTGATGACCATTGATACTGAGTACTTTTTCATGTTGGTCATGGCCATATCTTCCTAGTCCAGTATTTTCTTAATTTTAAATTGGGTTATTTGTATTTTTATTAATGAGTTATAGGAGTAATTTATATAGTTGAGTTATAAGCTCTTTGTCATATATATATATAGCTAATATTTTTCTCCCAATCTTTTCTTACTAATTTTCTTAAAGATGTCTTTTCGTGAGCAGAATCTCAATTTTAAGTATAATTAGTTAAAATTTTTTTATAGCTATTGCTTTCAGTATCCTGAGAAATCTTTACCTACTCTAATGTCCTGAAGATACTCTCCTTCTAGAATGTTTCCTTCTAAAAGCTAAATATTTATACTTGTGAATTTTTATGTTTAGTTCTATTGTCCATCTCAAATAACTTTTTGTATATGGTGTGAGGAAGGTGCCTAAGTTAATTTTTTTCTCATACAGATACCCAAAGTTTTCTAGTACCGGTTTCTTGAAAAGACTTTCCTTTCTCCTTGATTTGTTTTAGTGCCTTTGTTGACATTCAGGTGACCATAGAAGTATGGGTTTATTTTCAGACTCTCTATTCTCTTCATTGATCAATTTGTCTATCCTTATGCCAGTCTTGATTACTTTGGCATTAAGTCTTGAAGTCAGGTTGTGCCAGTTTTCCAACTCCCCCCACCCGAAGGTTCTTGTTTTAATTCTCCTAAGTCCTTTGTGTTTAAAGATAAACTTTGGAATCAGCTTGTCATTTTCTACGAAAGAAAAAAAAAAAATTGCTTGGATGTTAATTGGAATTAACACTGATCAATTTGGCAAGAACTGACAATATTGAGTCTTCTAAACCATAAAGATGGTATATGTCTCCATTTACTTAGGGCTTTTTAATTTTTGTCAACAACATTTTGTAATTTTCAAGGTAAAGGTCTTATACATCTTTTGTAAAACTTATCCCTAAGTATGTTATGTTCTTTTGAGGCTATTTTAAATGGTTTATTGTTTTAAAATTTATTTCCTGTTGTTTATTGCTAGTATGTAGAAATACAATAATTTTTATGTATTGACCTGTGTTCTGACTAAATTTATTCATTAGTTCTAATGGATTTATTGGTAGAATTTTTAGTATTTCTTATGTATACAGTTTCAGGGTGTGGGATCACATTACAGAAAACAATTTGGCCTGCCTTCTCAGTTCTTTTGAGCCAGACCAACACCTGAGGCTGATGAGTAGGAGCTGACCAGACCAAGAGAGACCACCTAAGAGACATGATGTTGACTAAGCCTCAGGAGTCATGATGTAATCTCTCATGACCACATGGGGAGGCTGATAAGACCCCTGAACCCTGACACTCAGATGAGCTTCCTGTTTGGTTACTATGCACAGGAATGGATAGCATATCCCTCTTTGGGACATGGAAGGTCCACACTGGGACCCCTCCCAGACCTCACCCTGTGTGTCTCTTTGTTTGTAGTATTTTTGGTTTTAATAAACATGTAGTAAAAATGGTATGTTGTTGTTTGTTGTTACGCGCTGTTGGGTTGGTTGCGACTCACAGCAACCCTATGTACAACAGAATAAAACACTACCCAGTCCTGCGCCATCTTCACAGTCGTTATTTTGCGTGAGCCCATTGTTGCAGCCACCTTGTCAATCCATCTCGTTGAGGGTCTTCCTCTTTTTCACTGACCCTTTACTTTTCCAAGCGTGATATCCTTCTCCAGGAACTGATCCCTCCTGATAACATGTCCAAAGTATGTGAGACAAAGTCTTGCCATCCTTGCTTCTAAGGGGCATTCTAGCTGTACTTCTTCCAAAACAGATTTGCTCATTCTTTTGGCAGACCATGGTGTATTCAGTATTCTCCACCAACACCATAATTCAAAGGCAGCAATTCTTCTTTGGTCTTTCTTATTCATTGTCCAGCTTTTGCATGCATTTGAGACCATTGAAAACACTAAGGCTTGGGGCAGGTGCACCTTAGTCTTCAAGGTGACATTTTTGCTTTTTAACCCTGTAAAGAGGTCTTTTGCAGCAGATTTGCCCAATGCAACACGTCCTTTGATTTCTTGACTGCTGCTTCCGTGGCTGTTGATTGTGGATCCAAGTAAAATGAAATCCTTGACAACTTCAGTATTTTCCCCATTTATCGTGATGTTGCTTCTTGGTACAGTTGTGAGGATTTTTGTTTTCTTTATGTTGAGGTGTAATCCATACTGAAGGTTATAGTGTTTGATATTCATCAGTAAGTGCTTGAAGACTGTAGTGTTTGATATTCATCAGTAAATGCTTCAATTCCTTTTCACTTTGAGCAAGCAAGCTTGTCATCTGCATATCGCAGGTTGTTAATGAGTCTTCCTTCAATCCTAATGCCGCGTTGTTATTCATATAGTCCAGCTTCTCGGATTATTTGTTCAGCGTACAGATTGAGTAAGTACGATGAAAGGTTACAACCCCGATGCACACCTTTCTTGACTTTAAACTACGCAGTATCACCTTGTTCTGTTTGAACAACTGGTGTGGTATGGTGTACTCTCCATGAATTCTGTGAGTTGTGCCAGCGAATTAATGAAACCACAGGGTCACTGAGAGCCAGCAGAGGCTGGGGTCTGCCTGTCTGGCAGTATGAGAGAAGGTGTCCTTCTAACTTGTGAGCTCTAACCCAGCTCCAGGTAGAGAGAGAGTGTGCCAGTTGGGTGGCTAGTGACAAGGCTGGAGAAGGGGAAGGTGAGGGCTGAATCCATCCCTACATTTTGAGGATTGGATTCATGCTGATCCTTACCATGCAGTTAGCAGCAAAGGTGGGATTTACCCACTTTGCTCCTTATTTAGTGCAATGTCTTTCTTTTTTCATATGGCTTTTCTTTTTCTTGCCTATTGCATTGGCTAAGACTTTCAGAACAATGTACATAGAAGTGGTGAGAGCAGACATCTTTCCCTTGTTTCCAATCTTAGGGGAAAAGCGTTTAGACTTTTACCATTAAATATTATGTTAGCTGTAGGTTTTCCCAAAATTCTCGTCAGGTTGAGGAAATTTTCTCCTCTAGTGTTACTAACTTAACATTTGTTAGACATTTTTAATTACTAATAATTTGTCTCATAGTGAGATGAAGTTAACAATACAAACTTGTTTTCTGTCCTTAAGAGGTCACTAAATCAGTGAATTGTAACGTGTCACTTCAGAGGGTTTATTTGTTTATTAGCATTTAGACCAAGTTGCTTTGATACTGCGTTGACACTTTTCAGCATTTGGCATTCTTAAAATGATAAGGAATTAAATAATCATTATCTCTGTCTATTTTGATTTCTCAGAGCACTACACAAATATTCATATTGACATGGGTTTAAGTAGAGGTATAAATGATTAATACTGCTCCTAATTTGAATAAATTAGGAGGTTAAACATTTTTCCCCCTGCAATTTGGTGATATATATTCTAGCTTTTTCTTGTGAGGCTTCTGTGTCATAAAAGGGCTTGCAAGTAACTTTGTGTAACCCAAGCTTCACAAAAACTGGCTATTAGAATTTCCCAGTCCTCTCATAGGCTCTATAAGCTACATTTATATGCTTTATATAAAAATTGTATTAAACATTTTTCTGTTGGGCTCTTATTCCGTGCCCAACTGTGTAATGTAGCCATTTGAGATATAATCGAGAACAAAACAGATGTTATCCTCATGGGACTTGCAGTCTCGTCAAGAAGACAAAATTTAATGAAATAAATAAATATAAACTGTGATAAGTGGGGAGTCTGATCCAATATGGGAACTCAGGGAAGGCTTCCCTGAGGAAGTCGTATTTGAACTGAAACCTGAAGATTGGATATGAATTAACTAAAAAGATTGTGATGGCATAGTAACCAGCAGGTCCACATACTCTAAGGCAGTAGGGAACAAAGCAAGTGTATGTGGGACTGGGGTGGGGAACGGGAGCCAGTTTAGCTAAATCCTAAACAACACAGAAGAGAAATGCACTTTTGGGAGACCAAATTTATAGGACCTTTTAGAAATTTATCTTAAGGGCAGTGTGAAAACACTGAGGTATTTTAAATAGGGGAGTGACATGATCTGGTTTGCATTTTTGAAAGAACATTCTGTCTGCTGTGTGGATAATGGATTGAAGAGAGGTCACAGAGGACCATGGAAGACCAGTTTTAAAGCCACCATAGTAGTTCATGCACAAGACGATGCTAGCTTGCCTAGGGTCGTGACATTTGAGATGAAGGAAAGTAGTTGAAGAAACAGATAAATTTTGAAGGCACATACCTTCGTTGCCTATCTTAATGTATTAAAAACAACTTTTACTTTATCCTATCTTTGTTTATTTGTTATGATACTGTATTACTTATGTAGTTCTCCTTGATAGTCATTACCTACTGTTGTGTGCCATCTAGTCTGACTCATAGTGACTCTATAGGACAGAGTAGCACTGCCCCATAGGGTTTCCAAAGCTGTGAGCTTTACAGAAGCAGACTGCCACAACTTTCTCCTGTAGAACAGCTGGTGGGTTAGAACCACTGACCTTTCCATTAGCAGCTGAGTGCTTACCACTGTGCCACCAGTGCTGTTTTTCATTACCTACTATTTATCATATTTACCCTCCATGACTAGTGTCCCTCTCTTGCTTTGCTCTCTAGGTCCTTTGGTAGTTGTGTGAATTGATTGGCTGTTAAATGATGAAATATGGATACATATAAAGCAATATATAAAACATACCTAAGATATAAATAAAAAATCAAATGCCTGTGATATATGTGTATTATCTCATAAAGTTATACAGTTTTAGTTGTTAGAAGTAATTTTGAAGGAATTCCAAATAATGATTCCTCTTAGATATTTCGTGACTAACATTTATCAGTTGAATGAAGAAGGAAGTGGTTGATAATGACAGTAATAAGAATGGCAATAATAAAATACCTAATAGGCCCCTAAAGTGAATTGAGAATTATGCCTAATATAAAAATAAGGAATGCTTTAGATAATGAGTTATAGAAATGTATGGTATTAATGCTCTTTTTTATTATTAGGTTTCACTGTATAAATTAATTCTGATTTTACACAGATCAGAAAAAAAAGGTTGGAAAAGAAGAAAAGTGAGGCACTAATAGAAAGAGTAGAGTCACTAAAAGGAATAAAATTACCTTGCTAAAACTATAGAAGCTTTTTTTTTAATTGGTGGAAATAAAGGAGGCTTACTGGATCAAAGGCACTACTTCTTAAACCCTCCATCTCATATTATCATATACCTTTGGAATCATATACAATTATGGATTATTTACAGTATTTTTAGACTCAAATCCATTCCTTTTATTTATTTATTTTTTTTAAAAGAAAAGTGTCAAAGTAAAGCAATCTAGTATTTGAATTTCTCTAAATGAGTTTTTTTGGCCTTTTTTTCTGATTTTAGAAATAGTATAATTCAAAACTTTTAAAATACGTAAAGTCTATGCTTTAAAATTATTTGTTTAGTGACTTAAGGTAGCATTAGTAATTGTTAGTGTTTTTGTTAAAATAGTTTTGTAATACAGCTTACTATTTAACTTGTCTTTATATGAAATCATAGATGCTGTAGGGTCGCTATGAGTTGGAATCAACTTGATGGCAATGGGTTTTTTTTTTTTTTTTAATATGAAATGTGGGATCTTTATCAAATGTAAATTTATTTTGAATATTTATTATCATTGTACAAGAGGATTTTAGATCAGACCTTGTTTGATTTTTAATGCTTTTATGTATGCCTAAAGGTCAGAATGCTCCCCTGTAAAATAGGACTTTCTAGCCTTGGTTCCTTAAATTTAAATATTTACTTTCAAACCTATACATAGTACTCATTCTGAGATTGTTATTTTAACTTGTCTTATAACTATTTCTGATGATGCTTGGTGCACACACACACACACACGCATATAACATATAGAACAAAAATATTTTGAAGAAATGCAGTCACCATTCTATATTTCACCTAATCCCCCAAAGATCTTAGCAATAACATGGTTTTCCTGAAAGGCAGTTCAACATAAAGAAAAGAATAGGGCTTTCTATTACTTTAGAAATAATTTTTATGAAGTCCAAAATAGTTCTTCCTACACACTTCCTGACTGGCAGCCAGCAGTGGCAAGGAAAGGGAGGTGCACATCAATATGGTATTAAGAATGACAATTTTGACCTGTTTAAATCCTAGTTTCACAAGTAGGCTAGAAATAATTACCTTATGTAGTACCTACTTTCTTCATTTGAAAAATGATAATGATGGTACTTCATAGAGATTTAAGGTTTTATAGTGAAAAAATATATAAAGCACATAGCACAAAGTTGGGTACATAGAATGTGTTCAATGAATGTTAGTTACCTTCAATTTTTACCTTAATTTTCCTGATTTATTTTAATTCTGAGTTAATTTGTAAATTAGTTCTAAGTCACTTTTAAGAGAAGTGCTAACTTCATAAGAAGTACATTTAAAATAGTGAATGTCGGTAGTAAATAAAAATAAATGGGAATGTTTATAACTTCCATCAGATATTTGAGCATTATTTGCTTTCTTCTAACTTAGGTATGTGTAGCTCAAGGATTATGTGACAAATTTGTTGGCCCTTTGATGCTTTTTAATATTAGAATAAAAAGTGGATTTAAAAGTCATTCTGTCTGTTTCTAATGCCTGTACTCTTCTGAGATCATATTTGACCATAAATATTTCCCCAAATAGATTTTAAAATAGCATTGTTAGTTCCAGTGCTTTGTATAGTTAAATACATCAAACTCAGAAATTTTGTGTGGGTGTGGCAGGGACTGGAGAGATTGATAAATGACTTTTAACTTCTGTTAATCAAAATATAACTATATTTTAAAGAGAAAAAATAGGCATATCACTTGAGTTTATGGAGAGTCAAATGATTTTTAATAATTAATAAGTTTTTTCTGCCAATAAGCATTAGATTACTGCTGACTTTTTAGTGTCATAGTACCTTGTGGTAGTTCTTCTACAGGGTTTAAAGGTGTACGCCCAGTTTTTTGTTTTTTTCTGTCCTGTCCAGAGGATATAATCTTTGCAAATGCTATAAGCAGAATACCTCAAGAAGTTAATGTATGCCATTAATATATTATAAGGATCGGTCAGTTTCATTGTCTTCTTTTGTCAATCTTGATCGGAGCTTGCCGAGTAAGTCTATAAGTCTGCATGTGCCTGGCAACTGTTACCTAGTGACAGTTTCAGCTGCAGTAGCCATTGGCTGTGCTGTTGATTGGGGCAGGAGGACCGAGTCACCTTTCTGATGGTGAGTTCTTCTGCATCAGCTCAGGATGAGGAGGAGGAGGAGCGGGCTTGGGCTCAGGTGGAGGCAGGGATACTGAGAGATTGTGGAGAATATACCGATGGCATCCTTGTAACTGCATCACAGTAAATCGGACTTCTGAATCAAGCAGCCCAGCCTAGCAGCTGATAAGAGTAAATGTAGGTGAGAAGCATAACCTTATTCTTGTAACAAGAGAACTATTTTGTGATAAGTGAAACTGGAATGTGCAAGGAAGAATATCCTGTGGATTTTATAAAAGAAGAAAGACTTCCCGGAATGACTTTGTGGTGCACGAGAAAATAACTTTCAGAAGACTGCTTTCTGTTAAGCTGCTGCATTGTTCTGAAGGAAATGCTTTTATTTCTACTACATGTTATTTCTTCAAAAGGTGTAACAGCGAAGACTGACAAGAGACTCTGAAATGCCTGTAGTTAAAAAAAAGACTTTTGGCAAATGCTATCCTGCTATCAGAATGACCTTGGAAGCCTTTTTGATGGATTGCTTCATTCTATCCTGCTAGCTTTTCAGTATTTCAAACTCTAGGATTTAAACTCATCTTGATGCTTTAGAGACATTTTAAAACAAGACCATCTTGTAACCTACCTAATGGCCCCTGTGTTAATTGAGCACTTGCTCAAAATAGAATACAGAAATAGAAGAGGCATTTTCTTAACATATGGCTGCTACATAACTGCAAATATAACAAACAAGGTAATTTTCCACTTTCAGAAGATTCAGTTGGAGTAATGATTTAATGTGTTAATCATCTAATGGCAATAGGAAAGGTATAATAACATAGAATATGAAGCCTACTGGAAATACATAAGTAATAAATAATGGCAGAATTTCAAGTCAAATAAGCTCAGAGTGTATAGGAAACTTTCTATTGTTATTTATATTTCATATATATTTACATATATATGAGATATATGTATGACTGCAAGGGTAGGAATAACTTTGAGCTATATATTTTATCATGCTTCATTATAAGGGAGGTAGTATATGAGGTAAAGAAAGTTTTTTTCCAGTTATTGATGCTGAAATTAACAAAAAGATTTCTTTTTGAAAAGGAAAAGGGATAAATTACATTGCTTTCAATAGCACTAGTAACTGTAACAGGCTAAAACTGTTTTAATCTGAATGCTTAGAAAAAATATACATAGACTTAAAACTTCACAAGTTCATCCTGTTTTGAGGGGTGTTAACCATTGTATATTACTTCCCTACCTGAAATACACCTTTTTTCTCATAAGAGTTATACGACAATCTAGGTGTGTTTGTTAACCCTGTTCTGCGCCTTCATGCCCCTGTAGAGAAGAATCTCTTGGAATTAACCTTGATAGGGGTGTTTTTCTTAACTCTAAAAAAAATAAGAGAGAAATAGATCATAAAGATGACCTACCAGCATCAAACCCTAAAGTGAGCCAAAAGATACTATTTACCACAATGAAGTTTTTCTCAGGTTTCCAACCAAATCTGAGATCTTAATTATTTAAATTCTAAAATATGAATCCACTTCTCATTGATAAAACAGGAAACCCAAGACAATTTAAGACACTTTTTCCCCTCATTCTTTCTAGGTAATCCGTAAGAAACTAGATTTCTCAGGAGAACAAACAGCCCACAGAAGCTTTTCTTCCCTTGTCAATAGATACTTTTTTCCCACTTCTACAGATTTAATTTTTTGTAGTGCAAGGTAATAAATCCATTTTCTCTAGAAGTGCCTTGTATCTGCAAAAAGTAATTTAAGAGCACTGGAGAAAGCTAATCAGTGACCTTTTTTCACCTCCTTTCTAGCTTATCCCCCTCCTTACCCCTCAAAGCTGAGGTGTGTCACTGCTGCGCTGAGGCTGATGAAGAGACTTGAGAGCAGCTCTCTGGGATGCTCAGCTGTGACAGGAACACTGACACTGTCTACCGAGGCAGGTTCTGAGACACTCGTGTGCAGAGTTTAACAGATGCTGTGCCGGGTACCTACTTGCTATAGCCAACGCTGCAGGTTTCCTTAATCCCAAGCCATGAATGAATCCAGGTGGACTGAACGGAGGATTCTGAACATGAGCAGTGGCATCGTGAATGTATCTGAACATCACTCCTGCCCACTTGGATTTGGCCAGTACAGTGCAGTGGATGTCTGCATCTTTGAGACAGTTGTTATTGTCCTACTAACTTTTCTGATCATCGCTGGGAATTTAACGGTTATCTTTGTCTTTCATTGTGCTCCACTCTTACACCATTATACTACCAGCTATTTCATCCAGACAATGGCATATGCTGATCTTTTCGTTGGAGTTAGCTGCTTGGTTCCTACTCTCTCACTTCTCCACTACTCCACAGGTGTCCACGAGTCATTGACTTGCCAGATTTTTGGATATATCATCTCGGTTCTAAAAAGTGTTTCTATGGCATGTCTTGCTTGCATCAGTGTGGATCGCTACCTTGCAATAACCAAGCCTCTTTCCTACAATCAACTGGTCACCCCTTGCCGCCTGAGAATTTGCATTATTTTGATCTGGATCTACTCTTGCCTAATTTTCTTGCCTTCCTTTTTTGGCTGGGGGAAACCTGGTTACCACGGTGACATTTTTGAATGGTGTGCCACCTCTTGGCTCACCAGTGCCTATTTTACTGGCTTTATTGTTTGTTTACTTTATGCTCCTGCTGCCTTTGTTGTCTGCTTCACTTACTTCCACATTTTCAAAATTTGCCGGCAGCACACCAAGGAGATCAATGATCGAAGGGCCCGATTCCCAAGCCATGAGGTGGATGCCTCTGGAGAGACCGGACACAGCCCTGACCGTCGCTATGCCATGGTTTTGTTTCGGATAACCAGTGTATTTTACATGCTGTGGCTCCCCTATATCATTTACTTTCTCTTAGAAAGCTCCCGGGTCTTGGACAACCCAACGCTATCCTTCCTCACAACCTGGCTTGCTATAAGTAATAGTTTCTGTAACTGTGTAATATATAGCCTCTCCAACAGCGTTTTCCGGCTAGGCCTCCGAAGGCTATCCCAGACAATGTGCACATCTTGCATGTGTGTGAAGGATCAGGAAGCACGAGATCCCAAACCTAGGAAACGGGCTAATTCCTGCTCCATTTGAAGAGAACTACACAGTAAATCCAATGTAATCTGACAGTGGTTTTGGATCGTGTTCTTGATTTCATCTGGAATTTTGCCACCGGGGAAATGTTTACTTGAATAATGACTATGAAATGATGAGGCTAAAGGTTTCTCCCCACCCCCCACCTCTTTTTCATGGAAAACACAACTAAAGGAAAGGCTGTATAGAGGTTACTTTCATGAGGTAATTATAGCGTGTGAGTATAGATGTGCAGTAAGAGGAAATGTTAAGCACTGAGGATGAAGAAAGTACCTCAAATCTTCCACAGGACATGAAGTAATTGACACATCAGAGCAAGCCTCTACGTCCCTGTCTCTGAATGAACTTTCTCTGCCTCTGTCTTTGTCTCTTTTTCTGTCTGTCTTTGTCACTCTCACTCTTATGTTTGTGGAAGGTATGACTTACATATATTGCCCTTTCTAGAAAAATGCTACATGTTATATATGTGGCGAAGTACAACCTTTTGCATCAAAGTGTACTTTTAAACACACTAATCTACTGTCTATAGATGGTCTCTCCATGGAGGGCACATAGTAAGTGTATTTTATTTCTTGCTGCACAACCCCTTTGCTTGTGTTTTTATAATATTCTCTGCAGCAAAAATTTTCTGCTACAAACAAAAAGAAACAGTATTATTTTTTCTTCTGGGTTAAATGACATATGCTCTTTCCCCTTCTTTCTAAAGCCTGCTATTTTTTTCTGTCCATTTTTCTTGACTTGCATCCTTTGGTACCTTAATCCAGAAGTGTCTTAGCTAATGAAGGAATCTGCTGTATAAAGCAATCATAGTGTTTCCGTCCAACAAAGCAGTCCAGTAGCCTGTTTGGGAGATTGTGTTAAACATTTTCAGTGGCTTTTGGGAATGTTTTTATCTAGGTCTTTTAAAATTAGCTCATGTGCCTAAAGTGGTGTCTTTTTGCTGTGGTAAAGCTTTTTTGTTTGTTTTTTTCCTTAAGAAAACCCACAAAATTCTAATGTAAGTGCAGGATACTTACTGAGCAGTGAGATATCATCTTAATGCTGCTTGGAATGTCTTTTTTTTTTTAAGTAAAATATTAACCATTTGGTGTTAGGTCTGCAATAACTTACTGTTATGTCCACCAATAATTTGTGTGATATGTATTTGCACATACTACATTTTTTACAACAAAGAAAATGTAAATTATGTGATTTGTGCCTAATGTTTTCTTAGCACAATAAATAGATCAATGTTGTTTAAGCTGTCAAATTGGAAAAAAATATATCAAAAATTCATTTAAGAGAAAAATACTTTGTGTAGTTACTTAGATATTTATATTAGACCAAGCAGCATTCTTAGTGTTGCTGAGAATACAATATACTTAATGATCAAATACAAGTAAGAGCTGTCAGTATTTTCTTTTATAATAATCTGTTTTCAGATTCAGAGATTAACTTATTTTTTAGTGTGCTACACAGGATTGTGTAATAAATTGTCAGGGGTTTAGATGCAGCAAAGTGGGCATTTGGGAAATTGGTAGTACGGCAGGTGTGAGCGATAAAACATTTAAATCTTACTTTTTTAGCCTAAGTTTCCTGACTGAAAGATATTTTAACATTTATATCAGACTACTGAGTATTTTTCTTCTCAGCATTTTTGATTTCTTTGTTTTATGAAATGCATTTAATGAAATGTGCCTATGACTCTTCAAGTTGGAAGCCAACCATGTTTGTGTTCTGGTGGTTTGACTTCAGAGAATCTTTAGTAGAAATGTTATTGTTTTATTGAGGTTGTTCTAAACCCCTGTATATTTTTAAACATGTAAGAAAGATTTAAAATAAAGAATAAAATAGTATTCTATATATCAAAATAGACTTTGTTTCAGTTTAATAAAAGACTTAGAACAAGAGTTTAGTTGTTTGGGAATCAAAACTTGTTTTCCATTTCTGTGGTTTGGGTTGTTTATATTTATTCTTGTCCCCTGTTTGCCACTGGCATCTTGGATAAGTTGAAATGCTTCTTTGAAGTTTATACCAGTTGAAGGAATAATAGTAATGCGAAATTTTCAGCTGTCATAAATAGAACCTTCCACATTATACCTGTCATTTGGGAATCAGATTGCTTTAGTTTGGAGTGTAAATATAATTAGAAACGACCAAGTGGATTCTCTGCGCAGAAAACTTGAGACCATGCCTATTGCTTTTTCCTTTTCTGGCTTTTCCTCATAATAATCAGTAACAACTATGTGCTAGGCACTGTATTAAGTTTTACATATATTACCACATTTAATCCTCATTACAACCCTTTGAGGTAGATACTGCCTTTGTTGCCATTCTAGAGATGAGGAAACTAAAAAAAAGTGATTTATCTAAGATCACTCAACTAGTAAATAGCAGAGCTTCATTTACCCTGTTTGCCTGGAGCCAGTGCCTGTATGCTTAACCACTATGCTATACTGGCTTTCTTTTCAAAAGCATTCCAACCTTTGTACCTCTTCCTGTATCTTTTCTCTGCAAAATTTCTCTTAGTGTTATTTCTTTTCTTCCCCACCCTACGTTTTTTACTTCCGTACTTTCCTTATCTTGTGATATCTTTTTTTTTTTTGATCTTGCAAGTCTCTTTTATTAGAACAGCAATTTCAGAAGCCCAAACTTGTCAAGTTACATTCATACTAAAACCTGGGGCATAGCATTTCCTTGACATGACTTTTGTTCGTTTTTGTTAAATTTTCCTTGAATAGCTTTTTCAAATCTCTATAAATTTCATATTGAAAAAAAATTTTTTTTCGAAGGGGAAGAATGGAGAAGAAAGACTTTATGATAGGCTGAAAGAGGACCCTCTGTGAGGCGAGTTCTAGGTTTAGGTTCTTCATTTATTATAATGTTTCATGTGCAATGCTAGGGCAAGTTACTTAACTTCCTTTTGACATATTTAAATATGTTTATATAATAGGATAATAGTTATTTTGAAACTACGCTGTCTTTTTCAGATTAATGTATTTTAAGAATAGAAAGCATAACCATTATTCCCCTCATTGTATTGTATTCTGTGGTAATTACCAATTTAGGTATAAATGACACCCAAAAAACAATGCTGTATTCTATTACCTAAGAGTTCTAATATCTGTGGAGTTGTCCACAAAGCAGTATAGTGTTGGAAGGCTTTATATCTTACTAGACTGTGGAACCTAGCCTGAAATCATGGCCTTCATAAGCTGTGTGGCCTCAGATAAGATACGGATGTTCCAAAACCTCAGTTCCCTCATCGATAAAATCCAGGGTTTAGCATCTCTTGTGGTAGGCTGGTTTTGAGGATTAAATAAAATAATGTAGTTTATGTGTTTAGCGCAGCTCCTGGCACATATAGAAAGTGTTCAGAATGTGTTAGCTGCTGTTTCTTATCTTTGTAGCTGACATATTCATTACTATCAAAACTTAAAGATCATTAATTCTAATTAAATAATAAATTGGATTTTTAAAAACAGAATTAATCCATCAAATATTAGGGTTTTCTAAGATTTTTTTTCCCTTCAAGTCTGTCTATACAGATTTTGGCTTAAACTCAGATGTTTTTAATATGGAAAAGCTCCGTAATTTCTGAAAGCTTGTCTTCTGGGAATAATTATTCATGAAGACATCATTTGAAATTAAAGACATCCAGAAAATAGATGTTGGCATGGGACAGTCAGGGATGATTCTGAGGTTAACCTACCTCCTTACTTTTTTGCATTATATATGCTTAAAACATTTTCCTCTCATCAGAGTGGCAATAGTAGGAAAGGATTGATCAGCAATGTCTTGCTATGTTGGCTTTCACTTTTATCTTTACATTTCAATTTTCCTAATTAATGAAATGGATGAAAGAATGATTGATAAGCAGATTTGCTCTACAAATAAGAGAATTATATGAGTTTAGAAATAAATGAAGTCACTGCCTTAAAAGACTTTTCCTTATCCCTCTCCACCCTGGGAGCAAATCATTAGATATAAAAAAGATATAATTGTGTGATAAACAGATAAAAAAGATTAAGATGTGGGGAATCTGCTGGTGTAACATGCTGAGCATAGCATCACCTACATTCAAGTGGGGCTATTGCAATGCCCAGGAGCATATGTTAGTAGGTCGATGCTATATTCTGATGTGTAGGTTCCAACTGCTGCTCATTTTCCGAAACAAAGCTTAACTTTGTTTTGATTAATGATGTGTAGAAAGTGGCATTTTCTATGACTAGATGTATAGACAATGAGGAAAACAAAGTGTGTAGAAAAGAAAAAAAAGATCCCCTTTTCAGCATTTCTTATAGATGGAAATTTTATCCAGTGCTTGTTTTGCTCTATAAAATAGTGATAACTTTTTTTTAATAGTAAAAGTGGTTGTCTTTTAAAATATTAAAAGTGATATGGTTGTCTTTTTTTTCTCTATTATTATTCTTTTTTATTTTTCTTTTACAATGAGCATGTATTTCTTTTATAATCAGGGACAGAAAATTTTTTTTTTTTAAAGAATGCTGACTATTAGTTTGACATCTCACAAAACAGCTTTTGCTGACAAATAACACTATCCAATAATATCTCAATACTTTTCTTCTTATGTAGATGGTTAATATAGTTTTCTGACTTCTGTAATATTGTTATTTCAGGTAGATATTCCAGAGAAACTTGATGACCTTCCACTTGCAATATTAGGTGTTCTTGACTTATTTTTCCTTCAATATAAACAGTCTGAAAATGTTGTTTGCTGAATCTGAAATGGATCTCAGTCACTGTATAATATTTTAATATACCATTGATGGCACCTTCCAGCATTTTTCACATCTTTAAGTAACAGAAGGGTGATCTTGCAGTAGAGATATAGGTCCAGCTGGTGTGTTAACTGCATTTCATAGATAAGCAGGATTTTACTCTCAGTTTCCTCTCTGAAGACCATATCCACGACTTTTTAATGGCAGCTTTTATTCCATTCTTATATATGACTCCCCATGAAGGTGAAGAAAATCACGATAATAAATTCACCATGATTCTTTTATGTCTGATAGATATTTAACATGAAAGGCTTATGTGATATTAATACTTTCACTCCAAAACTAGTTTTTGAGATGCTAAAATTCTTAAATTTGTAGGTGATAACATAGAGCATAAAGGTAGAATTTATTGAAGGATAGCATTTGCTAAAATTCTAAAAAGTCCCCGAATGATACATGATGCAAGAGAAGTCATATTTATCTTTGATTTTAAAATTTTGACCCAGTTTTCTAGTTAAGCAATTATAAATAAGGTTGATATCAGCTAAAAGTGCCCAAATATACTTTATAAATTTGAGGTAGTAGCATTATTTCATTGTGAGGCGCGCACGCACACACACACACAAAAAATACAAAGTTATATAACTTGTTCTTTAAATTCCAAATGTATCTTTAAATGAAATACAGACTGAAGCAAACAAATAGGGATGGCCAGTCCATTTGTCTTAGATTATGCCTGACACAAAGAAGTGTTCATGTGTATAATCTATGTGAAATGCTATTCAGAAACATTTGTTTATGTTCCTAATAGAGTTTGAAGTTAAAAATGGTAATATCACACATTTTATACTGATAGCTTGTTGACAGTTATTCCATTTACTCTTTCAGGAATTGTATCATTAAAAATGCTAAATTGGCAAGGTTAATGTTATAAATGATAAATTGGGAGAAGGTTAAAAGATAATTTGAGAAACAAGTAAAAAAACCATCCTGAAAGTCCTATCTAGTATTTTAACCAACTAAAGTACGTTTAGATTTTCTTATATTTATTACTTTGGCAAATAAAAGATATTCTATTTTTAGAATTGCTTGATATCATCAATTTCAAAATAGAGCATAGTTTCTTATATATAAGAAAACAACTTGTATATGATGCATAGCTTGTTTTTTGTGAAATGTTCCTGTTAACAAAGGTCAGGTTTTAAAATATAATTTATGTTGAAGTTAAAAAATACAAATAGACATACATTCTTTTTTTTTCCTTTCTTAAAATAGATTTTGAGGAAAAACTTGATATGCCAAGGATTCGTTTTTTTCTCATCCCTAGTCCCATTGCGCTAAAGGAATCTTTTTAAGAACTTACAACGTCCCCAAGATCTTAAAATTTTACTGAATTTTTAGGCTATTTTGAAATGAATCTGGAAGAGCGCATTTTGGAAATTCAGTTATAGAAGGTAATGTTACTAAATAGGTCTTAGGATGACTTCTGTTATTTCTACCACCAACTTTATATATCAACCCTGCTTTCTTTGTTTCTAAATGTGATTTATCACTTAAAAATAATTGAACAAACCATTAAAATTTTTTTGTACTTTTAATTTTTATTATACTTTAGATGAAGGTTTACAGAACAAACAGTTTCTCATTAAAAAGTTAGTACACATATTGTTTTATGACAGTGGTTAAACAAACGATTAAAATTTATTAGAGGACTTTATCCTGATTCGCTTTTATAGATTTTAGTATCTAGCACATCCAATGGTTGTTGTTAGCTGCTATTGAGTCTGTCCTGACTTGTGGCAGAGACCCCATGCACAACGGAATGAAATGTTACCATTGTGATCTTTAGGGGTTTCGTTGACTGATTTTTGGAAGGAGATAGCCAGGCCTTTCTTCCTAGTCTGCTTAGTCTGGAAGCTTCACTGAAACCTGTTTTGTTTAGCATCACAGCAGTACACAAGCCCAGTGGTAGCAGGGGTAAATAAAGGTGTTTGTTTGGTTTTTTATGCTTTGAATTCTACCCAAGTTACAAACTTTGGGAAAAAATGCTTATATTCTCAGTTTGCTGTCATTGTAGGAGTTTAATTTTTCCATTGTTAAAGGTATACATTTTAAAAGAAAAAATAACATTCTTGAGTGGGATTTCTCATGATGTCCCAGTTTTAGAATATATTAACATGGGTTATACTCAAGTGACTCAGTGTCCCATGAGGAAAGTGGAAACAGGTACCTGCCCCTGTCATCAAGTATGAGGGATAGGAAATTACTGGAAACTGCAAATTAAATTTTAAAATGCTTTTGAATATCTGTAATGCCCTTGAAATTAAGAATTTGATATATTCTAAAAGCTTTTGCGAGTAAGCACTATCTCATTTCACATATAGATATCTAAGATTTTCAAAGTGACCCTAACAAGATCATATAGCTAGATGAAGATACTACTTCTTATGTAGTAATAGTAGTGCCAGTGATAAAGTTCTTGAGTAAATTATTTATGGATGGTGGTAGAGTGACCTGACCCTTCTTTCTTGAGTAGAAAAATTAAGACTTAATTGGTATAGGAAAAAACCATGTGAAATTTAATTTTTAATTTAGGAAGTAGAAAGGATTATTTTAAAATTAATTGTATGTCAAAGGCAAGATTTTGAGATCCTGGAAAATTTTGATGAGATGTAGTATCAGCTCTGCTCAGTGTTTGGATATTTCTTAAAACAATTTCTTGTCTGTGGAGAGTAGTAGAACATTGCAACATTACCTCTCCTTTTAAAAACATAGCAGTCATCTGCTGGATGTATTCAGAGACTTGTAGACTGAATTGAACAGCGTTTGCTGTTTTAAAAAACTATATAACATTAATGATGGAGAGGTGTCAAAATCAACCATGTTCGTGTAACTGCTTTTGAAAAGTAATCATGTCATAGCCATATACTTTATGTTCTTAGCTTTTTTTTTAAAGTAGATTTGCAATGTTCATTATCATATGATGGATTTTTCTCAAGCATTATGATGGAAAGACTTTAAAGTTTCTAACGACAGTGATTTATATATGATTGTGAATAGTCTATAAAATACTACTCAAGGAGTCAGGCCAGTCTGAATTAGTGATGTTTTAAATGAAACCTTTTTTATATATAATGCATCTTTTTTCAGTAAAATAATATAGTTACAGAAAAATTATAGGACTTAAACTAGGCTTATCTAAACAAACAAACAAAAAAACCCCAAACCTATTGCCATCAAGTCAATTTCCAACTCATAGAGACCCTATAGGACAGAGTAGAACTACCTCATAGGGTTTCCAAGGAGCAGCTGGTGGATTCAAACTGCCAACCTTCTGATTAGCAGCTGAGCTCTTAACCACTGTGCCACCAGGGATTTATGTGTAATCCTGTATAAGCCACCAGGGTTTATATAGGCTTGCCTTATAAATGTCCTTAGAGGAAGCCTTTCTTTAAATAGTTTCTAGTATGTGCATCTGTTGAATATAAATGAATTTTAGCTCCTGTCCAAGGGCAGGTAGAGAAGGCAGGAAGGAACAAGAACTGGTTGAATGGACACAGGGAACCTGGGGTGGAAAGGGAGAGTGTGCTGTCACATTGTGGGGATTGCAATTAATGTCACAAAACAATATTTACATAAATTTTTGTATGAAATTAAGTTGAGCTGTAAATTTTCACCTAAAGCA